CAAAATGTCTGCAAATAAAAGCTGGCTTCTTAACAATTCAGGGTGGTGCAGCTGGAGGGCGGTGCGGGGGTGGGCTGGACTGGCTACAGCGGAGACTGAGGAAGGAGGGAACAAAGTAAAGACCTGGGGAAAGAGGGAGGCGGCAAGGCGAGAGCAGGTGACGTGGGACCCTGTTCTGCAGGCAGAGAAACTCCAAAGGCGCAGGGGAAGCTGGGGTTTCTCCCTGGGTCCCTCAGGCTCCGCCCCTAACCTCAAGCTGGTGCTTGTGAACAAATGGAAAAATCAGCCTGTGGAGATGCTGCTGGGCCCTGCCAGGGGCTCTGGGTGGCCCTGTTAGTTGATTCTGGAAACAACGGAGGCAAGAGGGAGTGGGCTGCAGCTTCCGGGAGCTGACCTTGTCTGCTCATCCCCTTGCTTATTCCCCCCCCCGCCACCCCGCACACACAGAGGTCCATGAGAAAGACTGGGGTCCACGGACCCAAGAAGTCTGATTGGGCTAAAGAGATGTGAGACCCTCAGGAGGCCCCGGCTCAGGCCTGGGGCGGGTCCGCTGGGTGACCTGCCTTAACAGCGCGGCGGCCGCTGACAAGAGCTGCCCGCAGCGACAGCAAAGCAGCTGGGCCTTGTGCAAACACGTGTCAACGCCTCCAGACACGCAAATGATGGGCTGAGGGCCACAGTGACAGATGCCCCAGAAGAGGAATGTTTAGGAATGGCCCACATGGGGGCCTGGAGCCTCTGGTCCCAGGCAGGTGGGAGCATTGGGAAAGTAACCAGGAAGGCCTTCTGGGGTTTCCCTCAGCCAGGGTCTCGGGAAGCATGACCGGTCTCATCATTTTTCCCAGTTTGGAAGCAGGCTTGGCCCCCCAGAGCGTGAACCAAGGTGGGGAAGATCCCCATATCCCTGGTTGGACGTTGAGTCTGAGCCCAAGGTGGGTTTTTGAAGTCGGAGGTCCCCTCTCTTTGAGGGAGACATCTAGATAAGGTGGCGACCAGAAGCAAGGCTGGGCAGTGCCCAAGAAGTACGGCGGGACTGTGGGCAGAGCCTGGGCCTCCTGCCTAATGCCCAGCTGTCCTGCTAGCGCCCTGCTGGGGGGCAGATTTCCCTCGGATGCCTGGTCAGGTGAATGGGGTCCAGGGTTTGGGGAACGTAAGACATTCCCTTGTCAGGTAAGGAACGTAAGACGGAGGCCCTCCCCGTCATTCTGCACCTGACTTGCTCCCAGCGACCTCCGCGCAGAACACTGGACCCTGGTGTGGTTACAGCAAGAGCAGCTGGGCCAGGTGGGGAGTGAAGGTGAGGGATGGAAGGCAGGGGCGCTGAGCGTGCAGAGGCGTCGAACGGGGAGCCGCTCTGCGGTTCAGCACCAGCTGGAGCTGAAAATGCAGAACCCCGACAAAGAGCTGCCCTCCTCGCCTCCCCAGGTGGACTTTTTAAGGGTGAAGCAGCAGGAGTGCGGGAGGGGTCATTTGCAAACAAGATGCCGTGCACACGCCCTGTAACCCAACACACACACCGAACCCAACGACCCATCTCCATCATGGTGGTGGATAAACTTGCTGGTGTAAGTGCCAGGGCAGAGGGAGGGAAAAAGAATGTCCTAGAACTTCCCCCTCCCAGAGCCCCAGTTCCCAAGGCTCAGACTTCAGGGGGCCGTCATGGGTGAAGGTGAGCTGGAAGGAGCCCCCTGAAGTCATCTTGGCCAGGGAGCCACTGTGCTTTCCAAATGGAAGTGGGGGGCAGCGAGCAAGAAAGGGGACGAGGCTGTCACAGAACGGAGAGGGCAGCGGAAACGGGGAAGCGTAGCCCAGAGAGACCCAGAGCGCAGAAGACATGCACTTCGGAGCGTTACGCAGAGGTGCCCAAACCTTGACAGGCTTGGGGTGGGGGGGCCTCCGAGAACAGATGTTTGCACAGGAACAGCTGAGCTTCCCGCCCAGATCTCGGCCCCGTAGCCTCGACTAAGCGCGCGCTCAGCTCTGCATTCCCGTCCCGTCTTTCCAGAGAGCACAGCTGGAACCCACCACACAGACACCGAAACAGCTGATGGGCGCTCAGCCCCGGACCTGGGGCAGCCTGACTCCCGTCATGAAGGGCAATCGAGAGCGGACGGTGTCGCGCACGTAGACACACACGCACACACAGACCGGTCCTGTGAGCCTGCCCGCATGGGACCCCTGCCCTAGCCTCCGCGGCCCAGGGGCTCCACATGCAGCCCAAAGTTCTCTCGTCTACACTGTTCCCTGGGCCTCACTGATCAACTCCGCATCTCCCTGGCTGGTCCCATGAAGTCCTGGCTCGGGGTCCCTACCCCTGCCCGAGCGAAGGCGTGGGTCTGGGGTGCGGGGAAGCTGCCGGGCTCAGTCGTGCAGCGCTCCCAGGCCGGCCGGGGTCGGTACCCTCTGATGGTGAGCCTCTGGCCTCCTGAGCTGGCAGAGGGCAGAGCAGGGGAGGAGAGGTGGCTTGGGAGCTGAGGCAGCTGAGCGCTGTCCCTTTGTCCAGTGGTCACAGCCTGGAGCACGGAGAGAAGGGAGAGAGTGGCAAGAGGTCACATGGGTACGACAATGCCATCTTTTGTGAATTAGCGCCCTCTCGGAGGTCAGGTGGTCTGAGATGAGCTGTTCCCGCCCTCCACAAGAAAAGGCTACTATGCGCTGGGCTCCGTGCCAAGCAACTCACATACCTGATCTCGTTTAAACCTGAGGATAGCCTGCAAGAAAGGCACATTACACCTTTTCTACAGATGAGGCTCAGAGAGGTTACGTGTTTTGCCCAAGGGTGTACAGCCAGGAGGCAGCAGGCTCTTCTCACTGGAGCATGTAGCTTCTGGACTAGGATGGTCACCCAGCTGTGAGCTGGGTTGAGGCCACGTGGAACCGGAACACCAGCCCGTGTGCCATGTGGAGTTGCTGAGAATGCTCAGTAAGGGATGGAGGTAAAGGAAGCGGAGGTGAGAAAAGACCCACACCATAGACTCCAGCTGTGGGTGGAGGCTTTGCTGACTACCGTTGAGCCAGGGTCTGGGCTGTCAGGGCCAGAACTTATGCCCACTCTCCCAGGATGGTTCTAGAAAGACAGGCAGTCTTTGCCTAGAAGGCAGCAGAATGGAGGGGTCAAGATCATGGATTTAGGGTCCAGACCCATCTGGGTTCCAATATTTGCTCTGCTCCTTACTAGCTGTGTGACCTGTGAATAGGCACTTAACCTCTCTGTGCCTCCTCTGGGGGTACCTGACTACCTCTTAGGGAGGCCCTGAGGGTTCAGTGAGATAATGCAGACAGAATGCTTGACACAGCACCTATCACACACATGTTTAATAAGTGGTGATCAGATGATGGAGGTCGTGCTGGTGGTCGTGGTGATGAAAAAAACTGGAAGCGGGGACTTGAACAGACACTTATACACCAATGTTCACAGCAACACTCTTCACAATAGCCAAAAGGTGCAAACAAACCAAACCTCCGTCAACAGATTAATGAACAAACAAAACGTGGTATAGACTTACAACGGAATATCACTCAGCCGTAAAAAGGAACGACGGTCTAATAACATATGCTACACCGTGGATGAAGCTTGAAAACATGCTGAGTAAGAGAAGCCAGACACAAAAGGATAAATATTGTACGCGGCCACTTATAGGGAGCATGTAGAACAGGTAAATTCATACAGACAGAACGTAGATGAAAGATTAGGGGTTGGGGGAGGAGGGATTAACCATTATTTCCTTTCTCCTGAGTCTCTGAAATTTAGTGTAGATTTTATACTCAAGGCACATCTCAATCCAGATTCGCCCTCTTCAAGTGTTCAATAGCCCCATGTGGTATGTGGCTGTTTGGGGACAACACAGGCCCAAAGGGTGGTCCATGGACCAGCGGTGTCGGCATCACCTTGGAAATGCAAGATCTTGGGCCCCACGCCAGACGTACAGAATGAGAATCCGCATTTTAACAAAGTCGCTAGGTGATATGAATGCATATTAAATTTTGAGATGCACCGCTCTGGAACGCAGGCTTGCCCCAGCCTTGCCTCCAGCTCACCACGTGTTAAGCCACACTGGGATTCTAGAAATGCCAGGTCCTCTGATGGAGCCGTGGAGGGGCAAACCCAAGATCCCAGAGGCGAGTTTCGAGTTAGCGGCTCTCCTCCTGGGAACGTGCCAGCTGCAGCTGAGACCTCTTGGTTGGTCCCCTGTGCAAATTACAAAGCCCTAGACAGGACCCAGATCCTGGGCCTACCATAGCCAAGCCCTCCCCCAATCCACTGCCGACCCAGGTGGTTTCTGAAAGGACGACAGCAGCAGAGTGACCATCTCAAAGCCGATGAGTGTGAGTGAGGAGTCTAGAGGGGCTGATGTTGTGGGGAGAGCAAACTCTAGACTAGGGAGTTGGGACCTGACCTGTGTCCCCAGCTTTGTCACCAACACCCCATGCAGATGTGGGTGAGTTGCTGAATGTCTCTGGGCCACGGTTTCTCCATGTGTAAAAGAAGGAGGCTGGATAAATCTGGAATGGCCAGGAAAGGCATCCATGCACTGATTCTAAATAACTGCTGATGAGTACCACTGAGTGATGGCAGATGCACTGTGATAGATTAGTCATGTCTGCCATGGGTACAGGAATAGGACACAGACACCTTGCCCGTCTATAGTCCGTGAAATAGGTACACCCCAGGACTTTTCTACTTTGATGAATAGCTGACAGGTAGGGCTTGGTGGGTTCAGGGTACCACCTCATTGTGTGATGCTCAGACTTACTGGGGCATCAACCTTCATCAGGAGGAAACAGGCAATGAGGCAGCCATGGTAACCGCGGGGATCCAGGCCCTGTACGGCAGCCTCTAGGACCCAAATTGCAGAGGAGATTCCCCTGAACAGAAACACGGTGGGGAAGGGTAGTACGCTGGGGAGGGAGGTGGGTACACAGAAAGGAGACGGTTGGCAGAGGAGCTGGGGAGGGGAGCAAAAAGGTGACAAAGGCCAGAGGACAGGGCAGTGGGGAGAGATGCTAAGGGGGAACACTTACTCTGCAGACTTCCAGAAATGTCCAGGGTGAGACAGGCGGCGGTTTCGCTTTGGCAGTCTCTCCAGCATGTCCATAAGCTTGGTAAAGGTAGGTCTCTCTTCTTGTTCAAAGGCCCAGCAGAAGAGAAGAATGTCCTAAAAGAAACCAAGATGGTGATTTAACGTAACTAGTACCTTCTTGATTACTCCTTGACATCTCATTGGATTTGTCTGTCTGTCTACCCATTTGTTGCACTGCCAGATTCCTCCATCACCCATCCATCCATCCACCCACCCATGCATCTATCCACCCACCCATCCATCTATCTATTCATCTCAGTCCATGTATTTATCCTTCATCTACCATCCAGCCATGCATCACTCATCCATTGCAACATCCGTCCTTTTACTCATCCACTTTCTGAGCCTATATAGCAAACTAGGTAAATCCTATTAGAGAAGGTCTGGGATACATTGAAATCAATAATGCTCCCCAAGGAGTTTCTTGGCATTTTTCTCAAAAAGGAGGGAGAAAAGGGAATCCTGAAGCTTCTATCCACATCCTAATATTATAAGCGCCCTTAAAGTCACAGACAGGAAAATTACTCTTAGTAATTGCCTCACTTGAGAAAGGAAATCTAGAGACAGGTAATCCTTAAAAACATACCGGATAATTATGCCTTCCCTGACACATCTAGCTTCTGATCAAAACAGGATTCTTCCTGATGTGTTTTAGAGGATGATTACTAATTTATACTCAGGCTTCTCTGTTTCCACATGTCTTGTTCTGAGTTGGATAATGCCTTAAAAATTTTATGGAGATCCAAATAAAATTAGAATCATTAATACCAGTGATATCTTTTTTTTTTTTTTTTTCGATATGCGGGCCTCTCACTGTTGTGGCCTCTCCCGTTGTGGAGCACAGGCTCCGGACACGCAGGCTCAGTGGCCATGGCTCACAGGCCCAGCTGCTCTGCGGCATGTGGGATCCTCCCGGACTGGGGCACGAACCTGTGTCCCCTACATCGGCAGGTGGACTCTCAACCACTGCGCCACCAGGGAAGCCCCTACCAGTGGTATCTTAATGTATGTCTTTAAAAAATAACAGAAAAAGAGGGATTCACTGGTTCTACTAGGCTCAGCAATCCCTTGCTGGGAAAAACCTGGCCAAGTGTTACTGTGCCCTGATAGTAGGAACCTGAATTGCAGGCACAGTTCAAAAGCTTTGCCTTCTAAGCTCCACGTGATCACCTGACGAGTCTGTGCGCAGGCTTTCTGTCACCCTCCAGGAAAGCGTTTGCAACCTTATTAACATGCAGGAAAAAGAAGGCCCAGAATTGTGTCTGCTTCTCCCCTCATCCCCCAGACCTGGCACTATCCCGGGACTTACCGAGATTTCTTTTCCCATGCCAATCTGGCTGAGGTTGGGTTTCATGCCCGTGCCCATTTGCCAGATTATTGCCTCTGCTGGTTGGGTCTTGAAAGGCCACTCTCTGGCATGGAGTTCATACCAGATTGTCCTGTTGGCAGACATTGTTAAAGGGTGTGATACGTCCCTCGCAACTCCGTGTCCCCTTACCAACACGCGCCCACCCAGTCAGCCTGCTGGCTAACCACTCTGGCCCCCTAGTTTCTGCCTCACAGGGCTGGTGTTCTGCTACCTAAGATGTACATAAAGCTTTGTCAATGTCTTAGAAGTCATGCTTATCCCAGGATATCTTCTCTGGTGCCTGAATTAAAATGAATCAAAAGCTAGAACCTGAACAGTCTAATATAATGCGGCTAGGATCTCTGACCCCATGCCTGTAATTTTAGGAAACTATTGTAAGGGGAATATAAGGGATACAGACAAAAACTCAATGACAAGGATCTTCTGTACACCATTATATAGAACACTGAAAAAAGTAGCAATAACACAATTGTTCAATAACAAGAATTGACACTCCCTAACACCATACACAAAAAAAACTCAAAATGGATTAAAGACCTAAATGTAAGGCCAGACACTATCAAACTCTTAGAGGAAAACATAGGCAGAACACTCTGACATAAATCACAGCAAGATCCTTTTTGACCCACCTGCTAGAGAAATGGAAATAAAAACAAAAATTAACAAATGGGACCTAATGAAACTTAAAAGCTTTTGTACAACAAAGGAAACCATAAACAAGACAAAAAGGCAACCCTCAGAATGGGAGAAAATATTTGCAAATGAAGCAGCTGACAAAGGATTAATCTCCAAAATATACAAGCAGCTCACGCAGCTCAATAACTAAAAAACAAACAACCCAATCCTAAAATGGGCAGAAGACCTAAATAGACATTTCTCCAAAGAAGACATACAGACTGCCAACAAACACATGAAAGAATGTTCAACATCACTAATCATTAGAGAAATGCAAATCAAAACTACAATGAGGTATCATCTCACACCAGTCAGAATGGCCATCATCAAAAAATCTACAAACAATAACTGCTGGAGAGAGTGTGGAGAAAAGGGAATCCTCCTGCACTGTTGGTGGGAATGCAAATTGATACAGCCACTATGGAGAACAGTATGGAGGTTCCTTAAAAAACTAAAAATAGAACTACCATACGACCCAGCAATCCTCCTACTGGGCATATACCCTGAGAAAACCGTAATTCAAAAAGAGTCATGTACCACAATGTTCACTGCAGCACTATTTACAATAGCCAGGACATGGAAGCAACCTAAGTGTCCATCGACAGATGAATGGATAAAGAAGATGTGGCACATATATACAATGGAATATTACTCAGCCGTAAAAAGAAACGAAATTGAGTTATTTGTAGTGAGGTGGATGGACCTAGAGTCTGTCATACAGAGTGAAGTAAGTCAGAAAGAGAAAAACAAATACCGTATGCTAACACATATATATGGAATCTAGAAAAATTGTACTGATGAGCCTAGTGGAGGGCAGGAATAAAGATGCTGATGTAGAGAACGGACTTGAGGTCATGGGGGGAGGGGCAGGCTGGGACGCAGTGAGAGAGCAGTATCGACATATACACACTACCAAATGTAAAACAGCAATGGGAAGCTGCTGCACAGCACGGGGAGATCAGCTCGGTGCTTTGTGACCACCTAGGGGGGTGGGATAGGGAGAGTGGGAGGAAGGCTCAAGCGGGAGGGGATATGGGGATATATGTACACATAAAGCTGATTCACTTTGTTGTACGGCCGAAACTAACATCACATTGTAAAGCAATTAGACTCCAATAAAGATTAAAAAAATAACTGGTTACATGTATTATGGTAAATCCATAAACTAAGATATTTATTATTATTATTATAACATTTCAAAGAGATTTTGCTGACATAAAAAATGCTCAAAATATAATTTTAAGTGAAAAAAGCAGGACACAAAACTGTATATAAGGTATGTTATGCTTTTTAAATACCACTATATATGTATGGACAGGAGAATAAGAGCAACACAGCAAAACGTTAACAAGGGCTCCCTCTCACTGATAGAAAGGACAGAATTTTTTTCTATTATATTTGTGTGTTCTAAGAAGGAAACTTCCTTTGAAATAGTGGAAAGAAAAAAAAAAAACAATCTGAGGGTCAGACTGCCTTGGGTTCAAGTCCTGATTCTATTCTATGCTAGTAATATGTCACTGGGTAGGTTGCTTCCCTTCTGAATTCAGGTTTCCCTACTTGCCAAATGAGAATGATGATAAAACTGCAGTGGAAGAATGTTTATCTGGGAGGCTGAATGCCAGAACAACTCAATGCCAGAATTATTCTAGAGAGATCGACTATGTTATCGTCTGTTTCATAAATCACGACGTTGTAATGATGGAAGAAACGACTGCCTGCTGCAGTAAGCGGCACGTGGGGACGGATGGGGAGATGGGCTGGGCAGTGCCTAAGTGATGCTGGGAGGTGTGGGCGGCAGTGAGGACTATGGTGCATGTGTCCGGGTGTTCAGAGGATGCTGGGGTGTCACTGAGCTGTACGGTGGGGATAGGTCTCAACTCACTGAGAAGATTTCCCAACTCAGGGACTAACTGAAACCATCCTAAGAAATGATCTTCCTTCTAACCTAAGATAATTTATGTAAATTTGCTTTAAAGAACACGAAGCACTCAGTTACCCTTTTTACTGATAGAGGACTGTATCAAACCAGCTATTGCTAGGGTTCCGCCTCTCAGCATCTTCTCATCCCTCTGGGGCGAGGAGGGGTGGTGATGCTCAGGTGTTGGGATGTTGAGTTAGGTGGTCAGGAAGTTCTCAAGTTACGTGCGGGATGATTCTAGTTCTTTTCATCATAAACAATAACACTTATTGAGTTTTCACTCTGTGCTAGACCTAATCTTAGCCTTTTGTATTTACTATGATTATGGGGGAGGTGTATTAGCATGGCTTTTACTCTGATGTTCTGCTATCTGGGGCCTTGCTGACCCTGGCGGGACTGCCCCTCCCAGGGCTAGCCAATTCCTAGAGATAGTAAAGGACTGACCTGTAAGTGTGCTTTTCATATGCAAACTAAACAATCCAAAGTCCTCCACCATCCCTCCATCTCCTCTATCAGGCTCGGGGCCAATATTCCCCTTCCTACTCAGGACAGCCCCCATACCCCAGAGCCCACTGAAATTAGTTAAGCTAGCCAATGCTAAGCCTGCTTACCCTGCCTCGCCCCTTCCTTCCCGAGAAAACCACAATAACGGCTCTTGCCCACATTTTCTTCCTGCTCCCTCTGCCTCCTGACTGACCCTGGTGTTTCCCCGTGTGGCCCTGCGTCGTATGATGTGCCCTCTCCTTCTGGGGACTGTGAATAACAAACTATCCAGTGGTAGTTGTTTCCTGATCTATTGGCCTCATCAAACCCGAATAATAATAAAACCCACATTTTAAACAAGAAGTGCTATTATCAGCTCCATTTTACAGCTGGGGAAACTGACGCTCACAAAGGTTACATACCTTACCCAGGGTCATACAGCAAAATAAGAGGTATAGCCAGAGTTGAAGCCATCTGACTACAGAATTACACCACTGGCCATTATGCTATACTGAGAAACCTACACTCCATCCCATTTGAGGGTCCTTTGTAATTGGGGCAGTGAACTATTTGGGAGGGCAACCCTCTAGTTGATGGTTGGGGCCTAGTGAAGGAGGCACACACAGAGTGTAGGCACCACTCATGGGAAGGGGGAAGGGAACCTATCAGGAGCTTGGCCTTGTGCTGTGTGCCTTACAGGTGTTTTCTCACTCAATCCTTAGAACATCTCAATGGGCTTTATTATCTTTGATTTATGGCTGAGGGAAGTAGGGCTTTGAGTAGTGAAATGACTCTCAAGCCTGGGGGCTCTGTGGTTTAAAGCTCCAACCCTGGGGTCAGGATGTCCCAAGTTTGACTCCCAACTTCATTGCTAATTACCATAAGGCAAGTCACTAAGCCACTCGGAACCTCAGTTTCCTCATCTGTCAATTGGGAACAATGGTACCTGCTTCAAAGTGTGCTTCTGAAGATGCCATGAGACAGCACCCATCACAAACTTAACACGGTGCTCAATACACTTTTAAAGTCCATTTTTGTTCGAAGTCGTGCCCCAGCATGATGTTCCCCAGGCAACAAGATGCAGCTAATTGGCAGGAAACCGGGAGCACCAGGCCCCTCGGAACTCAGCAGTGTCAGGAATAAAAGCCTCATTAAAACTTCCTTTCAAACGTAACTTTCAAGAGAAACGCGCTTGAAGGGGAAAAAAATGGCTAAAGATTAAAACTGCAGTGGAAAACCAATTACTTACTTTGGTACATTTTGTTAATTACATTCTTTTTTTCTTTTGCTAAACTGATAGTAAAATATACCAACTTATTATTGCAATTTGGTTTCAGATAACAATATCTAACTAGATAAAGATTTGGGCATAAACTAATCAGGGCAAGCGACAGCCTCTTAAGGGGCCCAAGGGACAGATGGCGAGGATCCTGATGTGGCCGCAGACACTGCCCCCACCCCGATTTATAGACAGCACGCAGCAGGGGTGCTTTTCCGGGGAAGATATTCTCTGTAACATCTCTTGGTGGCGCTAAATCTAACTGCACACATCTGCAAGCTTCCAACTTTCCCAAACAGCTTTCCCAGCTTATCTCTGCCAGTCCATGTAACCGCCCCCGCGGCCGGTCGAGGTAAGGTGCGGATTAGCACGGCCATCTGAGGGACAGGCGCGGAAGCCTTCCTGCTGTAGCTTCTCAGAGCGTCCGGATCTGCATCTCAGGGCTGTGCCCTGGACCCTCTCTCCCGCCTCTGTACTTTCAAAGACACCTCATCCCCTCCCACGGCTGCAGTCACTCTCTTGGCCGCCAAGTCCTGAACTCTTCTTTCCCAAACTTAAACTGTGTAGCTTCAGCCGCCTTCTGGTTGCTTCCCTCGGCTGTCTCCAAGGCAGCTCACACTCACTGTGTCCAAATCTGCTCTCTCTGCCTTTCTGGCATGGCCCGTCCCTGCCCCACCTCCAGGGTCTCTACTTTGGTGAATGACACTACTGTCTGCCAAGTTGCTTCAGGCAGATATCTGGCATCACCCACATTTAAACCAACAATCAAGCCCTATCACTTCCACCCGCAAAATGCTGCTTCTTATGTCCAATCCCAGCTTTAACACCCACTGGCACTGATTCAGCAGAGAATCTCAGCATCTCCCCCCTGGGTTGGTCAACTGGCCCCAATCTTGTCCTTCTCCTTTCCGTTTTCAACACAGTAGTGATTGTTCTAAAGCTCAGAGTGTGATTATGTGCTCAATACACTTTTAAAAGTCACTCTCCTGCTCAAGAACCATCAGTGGCTCCCTACTGCCCTGAAGATGAAAACTCCTTAACTCAGCCTCTAGGTCCCTGCAGAATGCCTTCTTTCCTCTCTAGTCACTCATCTCACCACCCCAGGCTCATTTTTTCCTGATTCTCCATCCATCAGCTTCATCTTCTTCCCTCCACTCCTGCTCCCCACATATTCCTCCATTGTGGGCAATTTGTTCTTTTTCACCCTTGTTGCTTTTCATGTGCTCCTTCTATCTGGAACACTTCACCTTACCCTCACCTGGACTACTTACACTCAATCTTTAACACAGGCTCAGGAGTCACCTCCTCCAGGAAGCTCTCTCTGACCTCCCAGGTTGGATTTAGTTCCTCCTTTCTTCCCACAGTCCTGTGTTTATCCCCAGCATAGCACTTATCACAGAATTTTGTAAAAAAACCTGTTTCCTTGTCTGTCTTCCACCAGACAAGAGAGAATAGGGACCTATGGTGGTTTTAAAATGTCCACAAATTGTTTGATATTCCTTCCTGTAAAAAGTAGAGCTTAATTCCCCTCCCTGTGATTTGCTGACTTGCTTCTAACAAACAGAATACGGTAGAAGTGACGATGTACAATTCCTGCGACTAGGTCATAAAGGCAATGCAGCTTCTTGCCGCCGTGTTGTGAGGTCCCTCAAGCAGCCTTTGGAAAGGTCTGTGTGGTGAGGAACTGAGGCCTCCTGCCAACAGCCATGTGAGCAGGCCACCTTGGAAATGGATCCTCAGCCTGTCAAACCTTCAGATGAGACCGCAGCCCTGGCCAACATCTTGACTGCAGCCTAATGCAAGATCCTGAGCCAGTTCAGAACCACGCCCAAATTCCTGGCCACAGAAACTTGAGATAATAAAGGTCGTTTTAAGCCACTAAGTTTTTGACAACTTGTTAAGAACAGGCACCCAGTAAATAGCTATTGCACGAATGAATGAATGAATCAGGTAACTTGCCATGGTCACACAACCAGTTAGAAACCAGGCATGAAGGTTTGCTAGGGTCTCTCTACTACAGCCCACTCAGATCCCCCCTAACTCACCCAGAAATCCAGCCACCTCTTCCTCCGCAGACAGATGCCCTGTCCCTTCCAGAAGCACTAAGGGAATGTTTTGGGAAGTGCCCCTCTGCCCAGGCTGGGGCTCTCAAAAGCCAGGGTGGGCCACCTACCCAAGCGCAAAGACGTCCGAGTGTTTGGAGAAGGGGAGCTTGTCTTCCTCTGTGTCGGGAGACAGCTGGCGGATGATCTCCGGGGCCAAGTGGCACAGCCAGCCGCTCTGGATACGCAGCTTGTCATCACGCCTGGAGAAGCAAAGCACAGAGTGAGCCCCGTTTCACAGCCCAGGGAGGACCAGTCCTCCATCATGGACCCCAAGTCTCTGGACCATCTCTGCTGGCCTTCTTGTGTTCCTCCCCCATCCCTAGCCCCCCATCAAGCACTGCCTGACCTTGTACTTGAGGCCAAGACTCAGTGGGAGGTGCAGGAAAGGCTGATCTGGAGAGAGACACCCAACACCCAAACAGTCATCGTGTCCCTTCGCCTCTGAGGCGCCCCCTTCTCCATCTTCATTTAACAAATACAGCCAATTCTTGTTATTCATAGCGCTTATGTTCTATAAAGTCTCAGCAAACACTGAATTAGTGAAAACTGAGTTTTTGCTCCTGGAGGAAATGTATATACACACACGCATGCACACATCTCAAAAAGATTATAATCTTAAATCCTAAAAACAATTCATCCTAGTCTATTTTATTTTACACAAGAGAAAACGAGGCTCAGAAGTATTACGTGATTTGCCCTGAGGCTGCCCCACTACCAGGGGGCAGAATTGCAAAACCCATCCAACTGGCCCCAGAGCTGGAGCTCCTTGCCCCGCACTGCACCATCCCTTCTCCATCCTCTGGTCATCGCTGATGAGAGCTGAAACAAAACTGCACAGCATCCTCTCCTTGGACCTCAGCTGGGAACATGTGCATCAGTTGACTCAAGTTTTTCACCACCCTGTACATGGCCACGAATGACTGTGAATGTGCCGTGAGTATTGATTTGGGGGTTACAAATAAATTTTAGCGAGTCGGTGAATTTGCAGATATGGAATCCGCGAATAATGAGGACCGACTGTATTTATGAGCACCCGCTCTGCCTAGGCTCTGTTCTCTGCACTGGGACCACAGCAGTGAACAAGACTGACAAAGTCCCTGCCCTCCTGGAGCTTGTACTTTGGTAGGGGAAAGTGATGACAAATGAATTATCTAAATAGGAAAGATTAAAATAGGAGAATGTGTCAAAGATAAGAGGGAGCTGACTTTAGGTAAAATGTGAGCTAAGATTTTCAGATTTTCATGACATAAAGGATCCAGCCACGCGAGCAAGGAGAAGCGTATTCCAGGCAGGAGATCATGACCTAAAGGATCCAGCCATGTAAACAAGGAGAAGCGTATGCCAGGCAGAAGATCATGACATAAAGGATCCAGCCATGCGAACAAGGAGAAGCGTATTCCAGGCAGGAGATCGTGACATAAAGGATCCAGCCATGCCAACAAGAAGCGTATGCCAGGCAGAAGGTCATGACATAAAGGATCCAGCCATGCGAGCAAGGAGAAGAGTATGCCTAAGATTTTCATGACATAAAGGATCCAGCCTTACAAACAAGGAGAGGAGTATTCCAGGCAGGAGAGAAGTTAGGACAAAGGCCCAAGGCAGGCCCTCTTTGGGGTGTTCTAGAAACCCCAAGAACATCAGTGTAGTGGGGACATATCATGCTACCCCACTGGCATGACCAGGCCCTGAGGGGTGGGGTGGAGTGGAACGCTGTTGCCAAAAGGGCAAACGTCCCTGTTCCCATCTCATCCAACAGCCCCTTCCGCCTCCTCCTGACTCACTGGGGCAGTGGAGGTTTGGAATTGTAGGGCTGGGCCAGGAAGGAGGGTGCTGGCCACTCGCTAACCATCATCCTGGGGCGGACGTGAGCATGTGCCTAGAGGGGGCTGGAAGACAGGCCTGGCACAGACACCCTGGGGTGTCCTGTTCCCATGGTGATGGATCCATCAGTGACCAACCCAAATCATCTTCATTATGGTTATTATTATGATCAATAACAGCCTGTGGGCAACTGTCATGATACCACTGGCATCTCAAATGACACCTTTTCTGGACGATGGTAGAACAGCTGTAGGCAAGGCAATGCCGGGGACGGGCTCAGGGGAAGCTCTGGCATCTGTATGGATGTTCAGGACGTGCTCACTTTACTGCTACCCCCACCCCTGCCCCAGGCTCGGCTGAGCTCCCCTTTCTGGGCACCCAGCACTGTCAATGCCCCAAGGTCTAACTGAGGGAAGGGTAGGAAGGCAAGTAACTCCTGCTGAGTACCTCCTGTATGTCAGGCTGTCCACCCAACTTAATTCTTATGTGCCCACAATCAGGTGGATATCACCCCTGTTCTATGGGTCAGGAAATAGCCTCAAAGAGCTTAAGTGACCCTCCCAAAGCCATGAAGGTAACAAGGGAAAGGACTAACATCCGTTTGATTGCAAGTCTTTAAAACTCCAGCGACTAAACTCCTAACCACAATTCCACACGAATTCTATAGCACACCATTTGGGAGCAAAGTTCTGAACTAAGCCCTATTTTCCCTCCAACAGGGAAAAAAGCACAGGAAGCCACCAATGGCTACTCCTGGGTAGCCAGACGCTGTGGATCTCTGGTTGGGAGAGATTGCTGAGGGCTCCCTGGCCTCTTGCAACACCAACTAGGTTTGCGTTGACAGCCAGGCTGGGGCACGGTGGGGGCGGGGGCAGTGTGCTGTCTGGGCGACAAGGCCAGAAGCCACCTTGCCCTTGACTTGCACTCCCTTCCTGGTTGACACTGGGCCTTCATGAATGAGCTGAAGGTCATTCCTTTTCCCTTTGCTTTCTCGTCTCCCTGTGGCTTCAGAAAACCATGAATCTAAAGGGAAAAAATCAGGAATTTCCCTGGTGGCGCAGTGGTTAAGAATCCGCCTGCCAATGCAGGGGACACGGGTTCAAGCCCTGGTCCGGGAAGATCCCACATGCCGCGGAGCAGCTAAGCCCGCAAGCCACAACTACTGAACCTGCATGCCACAACTACTGAGCCCGCGTGCCACAACTACTGAAGCCCACACTCCTAGAGCCCGTGCTCCACAACAAGAGAAGCCACCACAATGAGAAGCCTGTGCACTGCAACAGAGTAAACCCCACTCGCCACAACTAGAGAAAGCCTGCATGCAGCAACAAAGACCCAACGCAGCCAAAAATAAATAAATAAATAAATTTTAATAAATAAATAAAGGGAAAAGATCAGAGGCCCTCTGGTTTTTGGGGGAGAAGCCACTGACAAGGAGAAAGCGTGTGGACCTGCCACCAGGAGGGAGGAATCTGATTTTTTTTTTTTCTTAAGAGCCTTGAGCTAGGTTAAAGACAACGCCTGCTAAACCTCTTGTCTTGACACAAGTACTTGGGCTCATAGTGATGTCAACAACTGCTTCCTCTGTCGTTGGCCGGGGGCAATGGAAACAGGGAGGGAGCGATTCCCCAACCAGTAAACTGGAACCTAAGTGGGTTCTTGGCTTCTTGGGTTCTGACTTGATGACTCTCTCCATCTATCCACTGATCCGTTTGTTAATTTCCTGTCTACTTACTTTCTTATCTTAGGGACTAGATGTAGTTTTGGAGATGAATCTCTTTGGGTGGAGTAAACTCTAAAAAAAACCCTTAAGCTTCTGTTTGTTACTACAACACACAGGAACAGCTAGATCAGGCTCCACCGCATTTCAGAGGGTCTGACTGAGATTCAAGGTATTACAGAGCATGAACAAAATTCACTTTGTTGGGGGGCTCCTGGGTGTACCTCAAAGGGATCAGGGATTCTCCAAAGCAGCTGAAATGGAAGTACAATGAGAGAAACCAGGGCTTGGGGGGTGCTGCCTTTCTGGAGAGACGTACCATTTGTTGAAAGAGGCATGATTAGAGAGAACATGCTGGGTTTAAAGTGTGTGTGTGTGTGTGTGTGTGTGTGTGTGTGTGTGTGTGTGTGTGTCACACACTCCAAGTCAAAAGTCACAAAGGGCAGACCTTCTGAATTGGGATCAGGCTGCTTTTCACATGGTCAACTCAAGGTAGCTTGCTCCAGGGTGAGTGGTGGCTGAGAGTTTATTACTTAACAATAGTTAATGACCCTCCTGGGTGATACTGAGGAGGTATATGCAAATTAATGCTAATTACAACAACTCCACAGAAGCCACTGGCTTGGCCAGAAAGTTCGTTCGGGTTTGCCCATAAGATGGTACAGAAAAGCCCGAACGAACTTTTTGGCCAACCCAGTATTCTTTGTAGTGCTTGATGTGCTCCAGGCCTTGTGCTGGATGCTTGCTGTGTGTTGTCTTATTCTACCCTCGTAATGACCCTCTGAGGCAGGAATCATCACACCCACCATTTTTCTTGCAGGAAAGCGAAGGCACAGTTCATAAGTGGCAGAGTCAAGTTGGGCCCCGGGTGGGTCTGACTTTCAATCCCTTGCTCTTAACCACACTCCTGCTGTGCTAAACCAACGGGATTCATAAGAACACTTTGAGCAACGGTGCTTGGGGGAGCCCGCTTCCATGTGCGTGCTTGGAGTAAGGAGTGTCTTCCAGTGAAACTCAAGGGCAAGGGCGTGGCAGGATTGAAGGATGCTTTGTGCCCATTCAAAGGCGCCATTTCCAAGACAGGCCCCATGGGACTCAGAGTGTGACCCGGGCATCCGCACTGCATCATGGGCTCAGCAGCCTAGCCGTGCAGCTAAGCGACCTCAGGTCCAGCATCACGTCTAGGTCACTGAAGCCACCTGGGCGACTTCTCATCCCCTGACCGTCATCCATCAAGAACCCCTCTGGGACCTTCTACCACCTCTCACCTGCCAGCCTGCAGCACCCCGGAAATGCTGAAGAGCCCGAAGTCTGTGATCACCACTTTGCCGTTGTCGTAGAAGACGTTCTTGGACTTGAGGTCCTTGTGCAGGATTCCCTTGGCGTGGAGGTAGCCCATGCCCTGCAAGAAACAAGGATACAGGGAGCTGCCAGAGGACACCCACGCGCTCACTGCCAGCCTGGCTCGGGGTCACGATCCACACGCCCTGCCCTTCCACTGAAACCACACTGAACAGCTGCAGATCTGGGACCCAAATGCCAAGGTTTGCAGGTGGGGTGGAGAAGGCATGGCGAGTGGGAACAGGCAGGGCCCCCAAGACAGAAATCTGCCACCCCCCTCAGATCATAGCAAAACCATCTCCATCTAAGCTCTTCTGCTTCCTGAAGAAGAAACGAAGGAAGATCTCCCCAGAGGGAGAGGGGCGGGGACAAACCTGAAAAGAGGCCCCCAGAGTAAGGAATCCCATCGGCCATCTTCTCCACTTCCATTCTGCAAAATAACTCATCTGCAGGAGACTTGCTCCTTAGATCTACTTAACCCACACAACTGCAGAATTTCACTGTGCGCCTCAAGAGACATATCACAAGGCGATAATCAAGAACATGGAGAAGGGTCTGTGGGAGGTCAAGCTTAAGGGTGAAACGTCTAGATTTCTCTTTTTGCCTTAATGAGCAGTCACATTTTTATTTCTTTTTGCAGCTCAGTCCTGACACTTCCAGTGGGAAATAAAAACCCGAAGACGATGGACTAATGAGGCACCCACCAGAAAACACAGGATGTTCCTGTTTGTTTTAATCCCAAACAACACCAATTTGATGCCTCCCCAGCAGCTGTGGAGAGAGATGGCTTACATTCATGGGAATTCAAGGCTTCAAGGCGTAAGGGAGTTTATCAATGAGAAGAGTCCCTCCCCCCACCCCGGGTCTCTGCACACACCCAATTATCATGATGATGGGGCACCAGATGGAAACCAAACATTAGTAGACCATCCCTCATGCTTGTATCTGGCCTGGTATCGTGCAGGTCAAGTTTAATCTCTTTTAAGCCCAGACTGTTGATCTGAAGCCAGACCATGAGTCTCAGGAGGGGTCTTTCTGAGGTTCAGGGAATAGGCCCCAGACCCTACGGTACCTTCACAATTTCTTGGGCAATCTGCCTCGTTTTGTTGACATCCAAGACGATCTTGGCATCCCTGACCACAGAATAGAGTGTCCGGCCCTTACAGAGGCTGGAAAGCAGAAGGACACAATTAATTGTGGGCAGTTGTTGCGATAGGCGCCACACACAACGGTTATTAAAAGTGACACATAGAGGGAATTCCCTAGCGGTCCAGTGCTTAGGACTCGGTGCTTTCACTGCCGGGACCCGCGTTCGATCCCTGGTTGGGGGAAAAAGATCCCGCAAGCCACGCGGCACACACACACAAAAGTGACACATAGAGAGTGGGTGTGTGTGGACGTGCCACTATTATGCCTGTGAGATACTAAGCCACCACAGCCTTGCACTGGACCTCGGTTCTGGTTCTGGGAGCAATTCCTTTGGTGTTGTTCAGCATCTTCATCAGCTACCCCCAGCATCCAAGGACATGTGCAGAGTCTAGCCTAGCCCAGAAGCAGGCTTTGCCACGTACCGTCTAACACAGGCTCTCACAGGTAAAAATCTGCTTGTAAACTGATAACTTCTGGGGTCCTCAGACAGCCCTCAGACGGCACTCTGCCGGCCCCTCGGCCCAGCTGCTCTCACTTGCCAGGATCCACTGGTGTGTGGGGAAAGTGATGAAAGACCAGCGAAGCGGTCGCTGATGTGTACTAAGTACCATCAGTGAATAATGTATTCAAGCCTTTAGACAGGGGTGTGTAAACACCAGTAACACTCCCCCAAAGCAGATGCCTGTCTGGATAGAGCGTTTTCAAACTATTTTCAGCCTCACTGAGCTCATTTCGAGGACCAGTGGTTCAAGATGAATGACAAGATGAAAAAGGACGTTATACAGTGACAGTAACACCTCATTTAATTGCCAGTGTGTTTACCCATCCTTTTCCTCTGCAATGAGCCTGAATGCTGGTGCACACAGACCAGGAACTCGATAAACAGTCCGCAAATGAATGAGTGAATGAATCAACGAGTGAATGAATGAGTTCTAGATTCACCATAGCATTCGCCAGCCCCTAGCATCACGTCTGGTTCATCACAGCCAATATTGGCTGAAAGAAGAAGGAATGACATTAGGAAAGTTCATTTTCCATCTATGTCTAAATAATGGCATGAATTTTTCTTTTAATCTGTGACTTGATTGCTAAAATATTCTTGGCTTTGTATTCATTCGTTTAGTAGTTACCGAGCTCTGCTGTGGGCTTGAATTAGCTGAAATTGTGTGGTTATAGCCAGAACTCAGGTAGCAGAGGGATCTGTTTGAATCCCAGCTCTGCTCTTTACTTACCATGTGTCGTTGTGTCTCTGGATGGGTTACTTAACCTCTCTGGGCCTCAGATTCCTCATCTATCAAAGGGAACTAATGATACCCACCCACAGAGTTAGTATGAGGACCGAATGAGAGAAGGAGCAGGTGGGGAGTGGAGCACACTGGTTAGAACAGGGGCCCAGAGTCAGACTGTCTTAGAACCGTGGTTTGTCAGTCAGTGGCTGTGTGACCCTGGGCAGGAGAGCTAACCTCTCTGAGCCTCAGTTTCATTATCTGTAAAACGAGGCCGACAGTTTTTGCTTTACAATGTTTCTTAGGAGAATCACACGGAATCAGGCGTGTCAAGGTGTAGGCAACTCTCCATGCCCAACACAGCAAGTATTCGTGAAACTCTGGCTATTGTGAGAGGTGGTGAATGATCGATACAATGGTGAACATACACATACTTGTGTGCAAGTTATTAATTAGTTACGTACTTATACACACATCACATCCTTCTGTCCGTCTATTACCTATCCACGTATCCACTTACCCACCATTGCTATCTATAATCATCCATGATCTTCAACTGAGATTCGTTTCTTCACCTGCTTGAGGTGAGATTCCCAGGGTAGCTGACTCACAGGGAGTCTGATTCGCCCGCCTGTCCAGGGTTGCCCAGTAAGTCGGCGAGGGGCAGCCATGGTGACTCAGGGCTGTCCCCGCCTTGTTGTCTCAGGCACTGGGTTTGCTACTGCTGGAGGTGAGGTGGCGGGGGGCAGTGGGCTGCACATCCAATTAGACCACAGTGATATTTAAGTATTAGGATGGCGGAGACGGTGGATTCCCTCCCCTGGAGACTCTGTTCTGAATAGCCACCTACACTCATGACAGGCCAGAGCCCAGAAGAAATATGTCCCCACTGCAGACGGCCAAGCAAACAGGCTCCAAGCCTCCCAGACTCTCAGTGTAACTGCATAGAAATTGCAGCCTCCAAACGTCCATCCCTGTCTCCTTCCCCTGCTCACATCCTCCTTTCCAGCCGCAGCTGCAAAGTCTTTGCTTCTCTCACTACCTTATGGCATCTGGAGCCCCTGCACACACACACACACACGCACACACACACACGCGCGCGCGCACACACACACACGCACGCACACTGGCTGGTAAGATATCAACTGGTACGACCACAGCTTGGCACTTTTACTTAAGTGAAATATACAAATAAGCCATAACCAGCAATTCATCTCCTAAGTATGTATCCAGAAGGCATGCACACTCATGTTCGCCTATAGACATGTACCAGAATGTACTAGAATATTCTAGAATGTTAATAGCAACCCATTCATAATAGCCCCAAACTGGAACCTACCCAAATGTTCACAGACAGAAAAATGGATAAATTATGATATATCCGTATAACAAAATATATTCATACTGGACTGTTAATAAGCAAATTACTGCTAACCGCAAAAGACATGAAGTTCTAAACCTAATGTTGAGCAAAAGAAGCCACACACACACTCAATGACTCCATTTATATAAAGTGCAAAAGCAGACAAAACTGGTCCATGTGTTAGAAGTCAGCACAGCAGTGACCCTGGTGGGTGGGGAGGATGGAGAGGTGGGGGGAGCTGGGGGCAGGTGATGCTCTGCGTTTTGATTTGGGTGTTGGTTATATGGATGTGCATTTAGTGGAAATTAATCAGGCTGTGCTCTTAGGATCTGAACACTTTGGCAGGTACATTATCCTTCCAAGAACAATTTACTTAAAAAAAAAATCAGCGAGGAAAGGATGAACAATTAATCCAACAGCGTTAAGCTTTAAAATCTAAGCCAATATTGACACCCCAGGTAACTATTTCTAATCGCTTCACACAGCCCCGAGGGCCTCTAGGCCTGGCTGTGCCAGCTCAGGTGTTTATCGGAGGCTGAGTTGAAGGTGAGGGCTGAGCTCTAAGCAGGAGCAGGCATTAGGCAGGTGTCCGGGGTGCCCAAGGCTCCAATTGTCCAGGCAAGTCAGTCCAACTATCCACGGCAACCGCTCCGAGCTCAGGATTTCTGTGGCTAACGCCAGTGCCCTAAAAGCTGCTTGTGCCTGGGTGGTGGGGAAGGGAAGCGAGGAGAGGATGAAGGTTTACTGAGCACATGTGGGACCTTTCTCACATCCAGGCATCCTTCCCAGCATCCCTGCAGGGTCCACGTTATCACCCACCTCTTACAGGTGAGAATGTGGAGACCCAGAGGGGTGGAGGACCTGCTCACGGGCACACGGCCATGGTGCCAGCCTGTTCCTGATCTCTCATCTCATCCATGGTGTGGGTAGCCTGTTATTAGACATGATTTGGGGGCCATGAAAGAGACACACAGCCGAGGGAACCCAAATCCCAACTCTACCATTTACTGCTTGTTGGGTGACCTCGGGAAGTGACTTCAACCTCAGCTTCCTCATCTGTAAAATGGGGACAACAGAAACAATACCAGCTCACGTGGACTGAGCCCTTTCTATGTGCCTGACACCAGCCTAAGCACAAGAGCTGCAGGAGGTGGGTGCTCTCGAGGTATTTCATTGATTCCAATGTGCATTTCCTCACATTGTAACTAACATCTCTGAAATCAGAATGTGTTTTGCATTCGATGACAGGTCACAGTTTCATGGGCACTACCCTTCTCTCTTCATAGTACATAAAAGAAACGGCGCATATTCTAATGGACGGCATCTTTGATTTAATCAAGTTCGGGATCAGTCCCATTCCTACAGATGAGGGAACTGAGGCTCAGAGAGGTTAAGTAGAGCTGATGTGAACCCAGGCAGGCTGGCTCTAGAGTTCAGGCTCTTAACCCCCATCTTTTGTTTCTTAACAATTTTCTCAGACTCCAGCACATCACAGGCCCCCAGTGAATGGTAGCTACAACATCACTACTAACATCACCTATGGCAATGAAGATTAATGAGGTCCGCAGGCCTCAGTAGCAGAGTCAGTCTGGACGTCAAGAGAAGGTGTTTCAGGGGTTTAAGGATACATTTAGTACCTCTCTAGCTTCTGGGGCAGTAGGCCCAGGCACTAGTGTACACACAGTATCACCCTCTGCAACAAAGATCATGTTTTTCCAAGAAGAGGAGCAAAACTGGGGATTTTCCACCTTATCTGCAGGTCAACATCTCTTCCGACCGTGGCCCCAGGCACCTCAAATAATGCTGTTTTTGACCCCATATCTCAGGTGACACAGTAAACCTATGGCCCAGATGGCAAGGCAAATGAAAGACGTTTGATGTAAACCAGCCTAAAAGAGGCTTGTCAGAAACAATGAGATAAAACCATCTAGAGGTTTCTCTCCAGGGGCCTCTGTCCAAACTGGCTCATGCTGCCAAAATAGCGGCTGGGAGAGAAACCTGGATGACGTGGCGGCCGCTTCCCTTCTCTCCTGCAAACTCCTCAGCATCAAGGCCGGGGACCCAGGCCAGCGTGAATGGAACGGGAGCTGGGGGCCACGCCCTCTGAAGACCGACAGACCGGCTCTCAGCCCAGCTCTGCCCCCTGAGAGCCCACACGGCCCTGGGGACTAACCGTGCCTCCTCTGTGTCTATATCTGTAACTGTGGGTGTGGTCAACTCCATAACGGTCCCCCAAAGATATCCACACCCCAATCCACAGAAACAGTAAACATTTACATGGCAAAAAAGACTCTGCAGCTGTGATTAGATTAAGGTTCTAGAGGTGGGGAGATTACCCTGGATGACCAGGGTGGGCCCAACACGGCGTCACAAGGAACCTTATAAAAGGGAGGCGAGAGTCACAGGAAGGTGGCAAGTGAACCGAGAGGCA